AGATGATTGGGTGAAAGAACACCAGGATCACCTGGCCTCCGTGTATGTGAATGCGAGGAAACAGCTGGGTGCAGCTGCTGAAGCTAGGGAGCGGCGTCAACCCCCAACAATCACTTCCATCCTTGCAGTCGGCACCCTGGTCTATCGTAAGAACTATGGACCAGGACGAAGGAAAATCCAGGACGTGTGGGAATCAACAGTTTACCAAGTGGTGGAATGTCTTGATGACGTGGGTGCGGTATACAAGATACAGTCTCGCAACAAACCAGAGCAGCGGAAGAATGTCCACCGCTCGCAAATAAGACCAATCACTGAAAAAGGAGCCCTGGTGTCAGAACCACTGACGGAGTCTCCCCCACCCAGTCAATGGGACGACATTCCCCCACTGGAAAGTGAAATTGAGGAGGAGGACAGTAACGACAGTTTTTCGCCAGGCTTCGTGGTCCTCCCAAATGTCCCCTCTCAAAACCGACGGAATTCAGGGCAAATGGAGACACACCTGATGACAGAGAAGGAACTAGACTCAGACGCCCCTCCCCTAGACACTGGTGTAGTGCCCATTCAACAGCCCCCAGGACCGCCAGAGAACGGCCCACAATCCCCGGAAAGGCCAGAGACAGCCCTCCAGTCACTGGAGCCAGAGCCGGTGGTTGTGAGGCGCTCACACAGAAACACTGCCGGTCAACACTCTAACCCATTTAACCTACCCCGGCCCTTGGCCCAACCAACTCCACCCCTGTTAGTACCCACCTAGCATGTGACATTCAGGCCATAGAACTAATGCCCCTGTAGCCAGGGAAAGTTATGTTACCGGGACGGCAACCTTTTAAAGTGGGGGTGTATGTGAGGGGTGGGACCTTAGGACCTGGGAGCCTCAGCATAGAGCGGGAGGCTTAAACTCAAGGAGAGCCTCTCCATATAAAGGAGATCCCGTGAGAGTTGAGCAACTCAGGTTTGTTCTCGTTGTCCGGCATGTGCTGAAGTCTGGGTGCTTTGTTTGTTGCTCGCCAGTACCGTGCGGGTGAGAAAACCGTACTAAGGAGGTAGGTTGTGCAATTTTAATCTACATCTTGTAGGCCATGGGGAAATTAATATAATGTTCTTTTCTATGGTAGAAGGTTAGACCTGAACCAGACCAGGTGAGCCCAGGGTCCTACCTGCTGGTGCACAGGTGCATTGGGCCAAGAAGGTAGGAAGTTGGGCTTGCAAGCACATTATGCGTTTTGTAATAAGAAGGATGGTGGGTACTTGGTGATTAATGGCTGTTTTGTGCATTTCAGGCTGAACTGGTGACACGTAGTGGTCAGCAGGACAGCCACTGCTCTTTTTCTCCGACCATAGTTTTAGTTTAGATTGTGCTCAAGTGCCTCCATCTTGCTCCCTCTATTTATAGAGATAACACACTGATATTGTGCCCTTTTGATGACCGTTGCTTCCCCCTCCCCCACTTCTATTGTGTTGTGTCTTTTAACTAGGATCAGTAATCGTATTTGAGTGTGTTGGTTTGGAGTGTTGCTTATTTTAGCCTTTCTTAACAGTGTGCAGTGTTTTTATTGTTGGAAGTGTCATTGTGCCCCCGGTCAATCACTACTGGTATAAATTATTTGGATGTGGTTTTATAAAGTTATTGTTTAAATAAAAGTGATATTGCATTGTACACGCAGAAGCCTCTGTCTGTCTATGATCTACCGCGTATGGCCAATAAGATAATTGAATTCAGGGTCTCTCCCCTCCAAAGAGAGTGGCGTTGTCACGTCTGGATACTATTCCCAAAGTATTTTAAGTGTCCATTAGGTCACACAAAAAATAAATATTTATTTTTCTGTGACTGTAATCTGCTAATCTGCTAAAGATAGCGTTAGCATCTATGCTGGCGTTAGCATTTGTGCTAACAATACAGGCTCACAAATGGGAAATATTTCATCCTTGCAGTCATGTTTGGATTATATTTGATTTACAATTCCCTTTTAATACAATTGTAAACATTACACTTGTATTTCCGCCGTTCAAAACGTTAGCAGCTACTTATAGGTGTCAGCATTGTCAGCTCAATTAGTAAAAATTAGGGCAACATTTATTTTCTGTGAAAGTAGTCTGCTAACGGTTTAGTGTGTTAGCAGCTATGCTCGCGTTAGCATCCTCGCTACTGCGCTCGCTAACAATAAAGCCTTACTAGCGGAAATATGTCGTCCTTCCACTCATGTTTGGATTATGTTTGACTTACAATTCAATTTTAATGCAATTCGTAACATTATATCTGTATTTAATGCATTTCAAAACATTCAACGTATTTCTGCCGTTGGCAGTTGACTTACCGGACAAGACTTCAGGACAAAATGGAGTCGCAGTGACGAGCAGTGAGATTTTTTTGATGCCTTCAGGAACTCTCGGAAATTCTGTCATTTCCTGAAAACCGCTAAGCAAGTATGTGTTCAGGGCGTTTAGTTGCATCTCTATGATTTCAATTTCAAAATATTACTGAAATATACATAGATGACAAAACACCATCATGAAAAATGTTCAAAGCTAGAATGATTAAACTGCATTAATTATTTGGTTGGCAAAAAGCTAGTTGTTGAAGTATTAATAGCAGTATGAATACTAGAAGTACTACTCTTACTACTATAAAAAGTACTATCGGTTGCAGTGCCACTACTACTGGTAGTAATAGTATTTTTAGTACTAGTAGTATTAGTAGTAGTAATTTAGTATTAATACCATTGAAATACTAGTATTAGTATTAGTAATGGTAGTAGCAGTATCAGTTGATGTAGTACTACTAGTTGTACTAGTGATATTAGTAGTAGTTGTAGTAGTATTTGAAAGAGCAATAAGTATTTTCACAAAACAGCTTCATTGTGAGCTCCATAGTTAAGGTTCAGATAATCATTGAGGCTTTTATTTTGAAATGACGGAATTGGGTGAGGGTGTTGGGAGACAGAATGTTTTTCCTTCAAACTATTAGTCAATAGGTTCTTATCAACAACAATACAGTAAGAATTCCCTCCATGGGAGGTATAGTTTGAAATGTTGGCATTGGGGAGGGTAGAAGGAGAGAGCACACTAGAGAGAGTGCAAAGGTGAAAGAGAGGGAGGGAGGAAGAGAAAGAAAGGGAGAGGGTTAGGAAGGTGGAATGTGAGGAAGGGAGAGGGGGAGGGATGGAAAGAGAGGACGAGAAAGGAAGAGGAAGAAAGGAAAGAGAGGACGTGAACGAAAGAGAGGAGGAGGAAGGGAGAAAGGGTATGAAGAACGAGAGAGGGGGAGAAATGGAAAAAGAGGGGGAGAAAGAAAGATAGAGGGAAGGAAGGAAGAAAGAGGGGGAGGAAAGGCGAGAGAGGGTAAGAAAAAAAGGGTGAGGAAGGGAGAGAGAGAGAGGCGGAGAAAGAAAGAGGGGAGGAATGGAAAGAAAGAAGGAGGAAGGGAGAAAGAGAGAGGGATGAAGGGAGAGAGGGGGAGAATGAGAGGGGGAAAGCATAGGTTCTGTGACTCCACTAATCAACTATTATGGATCAGCTGTGTGACACAAACTCACCAACTGACAAACTGCAGCGTGTGTGCAGGTTTCCACGGTAACGGAGCATCTGCTCAAAGGGCAGAGACAGTACAGCGAGTTACACAGAATCCACACCTCAAACAAGTGTCCACTAGCGCAAAACTATAACAGCTATCTAAAAAATAAGACGTTTGTGCGAGACCCAAGACTCTACCGAACGCATGATGTGATTTTTATGTCTGTCCGGTAATAAATACGGCTCCTACCGCAATTTACAAAACGTGTACCTTCTGGATTTTTTGAGAAATATGTCGGCAGATTTGTATTGGAGCCTATGCGGCTTTTGGCAGAGGTTGTGTGACTGTTGGTCTCCGTAGGCCAAAACTAAAGAACTCTGGGATTCCATAACCACATGACTACAAGCAGCACAACCATGCCATCACGTTAAGCTAAAAATGAAGCCTCTAGAGTGTATACTTTGGCTCTGAGGACAGAAGTTCCATATTTTTTTAACCAGATTCTGACGCTGCCTCACACTCTAAGATCTCCGGGTCTCCCTCTAGCAGACGCAATACACACTCATGTAAAAGTCAGAAACGGAGCGAAGAACTAGTGAAACATAATCAGTGATTATGAAAAAAGTAGAATAGATATCAAGAAGCAGTTTTTTTGATAAAATAGTTGAGACTCGTGTCAACATTTGAAAGTGTAAATGGTGTCTGTAGCTGAAAGATTGGCAAAGCTGAAACATCTGAAAGTTGAAGAAGTTTAAGAGGATTTGAAAACGATCTCCATTTGAAAACCATGTGAAGAAATATTCATGATTACTGATTTCTGAGATGTGAATGCTGATACGGAGACCGGCAGAGTGAGTGATGCAAAAGTGGAATCCTGAATCTATGTGTCTGTGGTGGCGGTCCGCTCAGGAGGCACCATCTTAAACCACGGCGCCGTTTTCTCACCATCGGTTTTCTCAAAGGCTGTTTGTCCTAATTCTTCCCCCGCTGTGCTTCCTTAAATAAATTGTACCGGTGGAAGGTGACCCCTCCCCTCCCCCTCCCCAGTCCCAGACCTCATTAGAAACATCTTTAACGAGAGGTCTAGACACAGTACTTCGCCCCGCCGTGTCCTCTGTTTTACTGTGTCCCGCGACCTTTCAACACACTAGCTTATGATGGACCTTTTTTAATACTGTGTTAAAACCATAACGTTAGCCTAACCTTTGTTATGGTTGACTGGCATATCGCTCGGGGCTTCCCCTGCGGCTCAGCATGATATTTTAGAAATGTGTGTCTCCGGTGGATCATATTTCAGGCGTGTCTACAGACTCTCGACCTTTCTCCATATCCCACAGCTCCTCACATTTCCCTTTCCATGTATTGTCGTGCAGTCGAGGTCAGCGGACCCGGGCTGCTCGCTTAATGCGAATACTTTGGAAAGTTCTACATTCTAGCGGTACACGACTCAAGGGCGGTACAGTTTACTGACCCTCCCGTACCTCTGCAGCGTGAACCTGACCTGGAGGGACATGCAGCACCTGGTGGTGAGAACGTCCCGGCCCGGGCACCTCAGCGCCGGAGACTGGAAGACCAACGGAGTGGGACGCAGAGGTACGCTGCTCCGAACATAAGCACCGATAGTATCGTATGGCGTGATATTTGTACTTCTCTCCTTGGCACACACGAAATAACTTATTTTTGAGCACATTCGTTATACAACAGTATTTATATAATGAAGCGCTTACTCAATATTGTGCGCAAACATGCACAATAGTAAACGGCTCACTATAAGTTTGGTCTCCTCTCTGGGGTTTTTTCGTGTGTCCGCTCCAATATGTACAATTTCCTCCTCCTGTGTTGTCCAATGAGAATAAAATTTTTATATTTTTCTTGATGGCTTCATTTTAAGACACATTTGCATAATCCGTAACGTCCGTGTTTTGTCAGAGGCAGAGCCGTAAGCCACACGCAGTGAGACGGCAGGCTGCTGCACAACACAAAGTCTCCAGATTCTCAACAAAAACCGACATCAGCTTTCCCTCCTATGTGGCTCACACATGAACCCACATCATATCCCGAACAAGCCTCCGCCGGGGAGAAGTGCGCGGCTAACGTCATTTCCGAGGCCAGATAACTGAGCTGCAATTATCCTCTTGGTCCATTTAGATTCTAGTGGAGTCCTGACTAATAGCCCGGTTAAAAGCACACTGTCAGCCCACTACAGGAGGTCGACAGGGCAAGACCCTGCTGCTGCTGCTGCTGCTGCTGCTGCTGCCGACGCCTCAGGGGTTCCTTTCAATAACAAAAAAACAACAACAACATTGTTTCTGACGTCATCGGCAGATACGGATGGCTGGCTATGTAAAAGAATGGATTGTTGGCTGGCAGCTATTTCTCTCTTTTTGAGATGATTACCGCCCACCAACCTGTTATTCTCTTCATCTCTGGTCTTCGTTTCCCCACAGTGAGTCATTCGTACGGCTACGGGCTTCTGGATGCAGGTGCCATGGTGACTCTGGCACAGGGCTGGAACACAGTGGCGCCGCAGCATCAGTGTGTTCACACCATGCTCACACAACCAAGGTTCTCTCTCTCTCTCTGTGTGTATGTGTGTGTGTGTGTGTATGTGTGTGTGTGTGTGTGTGTGTGTGTGTGTGTGTGTGTGCATTTACGAGCACTTGCTGTTCCGCCATGCAGCTGATCGATGTCACTGTATTCTCCTTGGAGCTGGGACGTTCATGTATATTTCTGAAGCCACACGACATTAACCCCCCCCCCCCCCCCCGCAGAGACGTGGGCAGCAAGCTGGTGTTCAGCAAGAGCGTGGACGCCTGCTGGGGACTCCCGGAGTACGTCAGGTCTCTGGAACATGTTCAGGCTCGCATCACTCTCTCCCACAACCAGAGAGGAAAATTGGCGATCCATCTCATCAGCCCACTGGGCACGTGTTCCACCTTGCTGTTTCCCAGGTACACAGTAAATGCACCTCTATATACACAGACACAGCAGCAGCTGGACCGTGGGATCAATCTCTTTCACGCACGCAGACAACCACAATTCGCACTTACCTGTGTTTTTAATCTGTGCAGCGATACTCCCACATGTGTACTCTGTGGGGGGGGAAACACTGAAAATAAATAGCATAATCACCTCATTTGCGCTTTTCTCGCAGGCCTAATGACTTCTCCTTTGAGGGATTCAACGACTGGGCCTTTATGACCACCCACCCATGGGGCGAGGATCCTCAAGGGGAATGGACACTGGAAATAGAAAATGTAGCCGCTAATGGCCGTGACCTCTGTAACACCGACGCATCGCCGTGATTTGCTCAGTCTGCTCACGTTACATTCATGCCAGCATGCACACCCCCATTAAAAACATCTCAAATTATCTTATGCTCAGTTCCCTCGCTTTCTGTATCTCTCTAAAGATTCAGTGTTTCACCATTTTTGGTACCAGAGGGAAGCGCCTCTCGGATATAAATGTGGATTTTCTGCAAGAAAGTGGTTGGTGAACTTCAATGAATGGGCTGCATTTCCCTCCAAAATGCATAAAGCAGCATATTTTCAGATAAGTTAAGTCCTATAATCTGGTGTGGCTTTGGTAACTAAGATATGAAGGCATCACCTCCTCCTCCACTGTTGTCTTTGGTCCGCCCTCACCGATTCCCTTTCTTCCCCCCTTACATCCTCATCTCAGCCAGTTCACACTGTTCACTCTCTCAGAAGTGTTACTTTAATATTTCTCTCTCTTTCTCTCAGTGGTATTGAGTCAGTTCACCCTCATTCTGTGGGGAACCGGATCGAGCGTCGTCAACCCCTCCTCGTCTGACTTCCCTCGACCGTCCAACGACAGCTGCAAGACCTTCGATGCCCAGCAGATCTGTATCGGTGAGATCATTCAGGCTTCACTCAAACTTTGAACCACTCAAGTGGAATGGGCTCTTTTTGTTGCGCGTCTGTGTGTTCGTCGCACATCTTAAGAACCGCTGTGTCGATCTAGCCGCGGAGAAGGCGTAGCGGCGTCCACCCAGTTGCCGGCGGTGGTCGCCGTGCTCAGCTGTGCCGCGGTCCTGTCCGCCTTCGTCGGGGTCTTCTTCTTGCTGCAGATGCGCTCAGGCGGCGCTTCTCTGGGCCGGAGGACCAAACTGCCCTCTGGGTATTCAGAGGCGGGGGTGCGGATGGGCTTCCGTTTTGGGTGGGGCCAAAGACGGGAGAGGAAGGCCCGCATGTGCTACAGGGGGATCCCCACTGTGTGGGGGGACGAGGACACGATCGCCTTCCAGTCTGAATCAGACAGCGAGGAAATAGACGGTCGTGGTGAGAGGACGGCTTTCATCAAGACCCAGAGCGCGATCTAGCTGGACCTGCCTCATCGGCATTTAGATATGAATGTACAGAGCTGATACGCGCAGGAGTCCCATCAGCACGCCGTCCAAACGCATTGATGAGCCAAGCTTTGTTTTTGTTGCGTATTTATGAACATTTAACAATGTTTGTTAATGTATCTTGTTGATTAATATTAGATGACAGATGTATTCATGATGCATTTGGCTCTTGGTCACCAAGTTGAGGTGTTATGCAACTGTGTTATTTATTTTGAATGACCCGTTTGACCATATTTTGTCCAGTTTGTCAAAGGAATATTCTACCAACTGAGTATTGCACTCCCATAAAGTTGAGGCACTTGTCAGAGAAATTTAAATCAAAGCAGCACAGTTTTTGAATCCAATGAAAATAACTCTGCTTTGCTGACCTTCACAGCGCGGCTCCTCCAGGTTTCTGCTGGTAAGAAATTACATTATTTTGTCTTCATTTTTCCCCACGGAGCATATTAATTTTGTAGATTCTCTCCAGGACATCTTCATCAGGGTGAAGCTCTCTCTCTTCATTGTGAGCCCCACGCATTGGAAGAGGAACACAAGGCTTTATTTCCTCATCTGTAACAGTGTAGACCACCGCGCAAGATGAATCAGTCTTTCAATGCAAAGTACAATTATTAAGTAATGAGATCTTGTATGACATTTTTTATGCTTGTTTTATATCCTTTTTTATTTAACTGACGATGGATGTTGACATTGTGGAGATCAGCGTCATGCTGGAATAAGAAATTGTCTGTTGCATAGATGGACTGTTTGTGTCTATACTGGCAGATTTGAAAACTTTCGGGGGTTGTTTTGCATCCGACGCCGACCGAGGGAGCAGATGGTTCATCACTTCTTCACATCTGTACATTATAGAAAGCGTGTTTCCTTCACTGCGGGCGCTTTGGCCTCAACAGGACGCCAGCGTTCCATTTCCTTCTTCCTAATATTCAGTTGTAGGGCTGCAAGCGTGCTTCCGAAATGCCGCCAAGGAACAAGTTTCAATATGGTTTAAATTAATATAAATGGAAAAGGTTTGTATGTATATGGGGGGGAAACATGGCCAGCTGGTAGCGGCGTTGTTCATTAGCTGCTTTTCTTCATAACACCCTGTAAAATGCAGGTAACTGGGTACATGGGGGAAGGTACATTCATTCTGTGGTCCATAATTAGATCTGCCAGGAGAACTGGCTGCACAACTCAGTGCCCCTAAGAAGCGCCACGCTTTTTATTCCAAACGCAGAACGTGTGAAAATCAGTCATCACCCCTCCCTCCCTCACCCCCTCCACACGCGCAGTGCAGTGATCTCTCTCAGGCCTCAGGCCTCCCCGCCACCACGCTTTCTGTATCCCTCTGTGCTGCTGATCCCTTTTCACGAAGTGTGAGTCCTGCTGCTCAACGCCGTCGCCTGCACCTGACCGAGGGGGACACATGGGGGGGAGGAGGACCTGCCATGGTTAAACTACGTGAGCTTCGACGCAGTCAGCCTGCTTTGTTTTTAATGTCAGGTTGAGTCCTTGACAGCCATCTGACTGACAGCATGTGTGCACAGGATGTGCTGCTGGACTGACTCAACATTGCCCCCTTCTGATAACCTCTAATAAAATAAACAAACTTCAACAGTGGCCAGCTGACAGTTTTACAAACTATTGCAGTGTCCCAGTCTACGTATTGAGATGTACTTTATGCCCATGGGTTTTACATATATAATTTAATAGCTGTATACAATAATTCCTCATACTCTTACATACAAGCAGGAAATGCATCCAAAATCTGCAATTTTAGCTTCTCAAAATGATGAGTGCTACTTTCCAGTTTGAAAATCTTTAATGTCCTCATGTTTTGGACTGTTGTTGGTACAAAACAAGTCATTAAAAATAACAACTTGTGCGTTTTACACTTTTTTTTCCTGCCATTTCATAGACTAAATTAAAACAGTGGCAGCTCTGAATGGATATTTGAAAACCCAATCTGAATGACCGGATCATTTTTAATTGGGTGAACAAACCTTTTTGTTTCTCTTCATCTCAAATGGGAATCTCCCTCTGTGCCGCAATGATGACACAGACGTACCAAGAATGGTCCCTGATAGTGTGCACTGTAAATCTCAATACACCACCAAAAAAAAAACTCCTCGCATATTCACAACATACTCTCATACAGATTTATCTGCCTTGTGGTTACGAGGTTGAGTCTTTGAATAGTCCACAAAACACTCTGGCAGCAGTCAAGTACGAGCACAGGAATGACATAAACTTTGAAATGGGCCATTTTTTCACCAGCAAAGAGGAAGCTCACGGAGGGAAAAAGAAGTGAAGTGAAAGAAAGTCTGTCGACTATCGACAAGAAAATCCAGCAAAAAGGATGTAAAAGTCATTGAATGTGATTAATGATTACTAGTGACCGATGGACTCAGACATACGATAAAGAGCTTCAAGAGCTGCAGCACGGGTCTCCTCGCGAGCAGAGACCACACATTCGCTTCGCTGCATTAAAGTCTGTCAAAAAAAAGAAGTATAAAAACAAAATCACTGTGATGTGTCTTCTTAATTGCATCCATGAACAAAATAAACATACCCACCCACCCAAATAAAGCTTTGTAAATTGCACCAGTCGCAGCCCTCCACCCACACATCTTTTGGGAAATTTACATTCAGAAGTTCAGTCCAGGATGGAGCAAAGATAGAAAAAGGACACAAGATCTTACAAAGCAGAACCAGGTGACACCCGGATGTGTCTGATGAGCGATTCTGGCAGTCTTCCTTGTTGTCTAATAGCTGTTCACCGGGGTTTTTTTTTTGCTGCTCTCGGAGTTGTCCACGGTAACTGCCGTTGCCTGCCCCCTGCTGTGCAGTCAGCCCTGTTACAGTGGACCCCTTTTCTCTGAGCTGCAGAGTTCATGGTTCTGCTTGACAAAACAGGGGGACCCAGACCCTATTTTGTTACCAGTCTGTGGCCGCCGCTGGCCCGGTTCTTTCGGTGCAAGGAGTCCGGTGTTTTTTATTTTTTATTTTTCCTCTCTTCGTCCCGACGGAGCTTAGCGCAGCTTGAGCTTGAAGGCAGAGATCTCCATGGGATCCAGGCTGATGGTGGAGTCGTTGGCCAGAGGCGTGCTGGAGTGCATCAGCGTCAGGGACATGGGCTGCAGCAGCTGCAGGTCCAGGTCCTTGAACAGTTCCGATACGCTCAGCTGCACAGAGGAAAGGCAGCTTAGCTTACAGGAGGTAAAACAAACTAACACTTCTAATTGTGGAATGACTATTCAGACCATTAGAAAGTAGCAACAACACTTAAAGAAAGAAAATACAGGATTGAATCATTTTATTATCAACTCTAAAGTTGTTGCTATGTTGAGAGCCATATGGAGGCAATGCAGTTAAGCACCTTTAAGTAAATTACTTGGTTACGAACCTTTGCGAATGCAAAAATGACTGAGACATTGAGTGAAAATCACCTGTCCCTGCGTGGTGGTGCAGTTGATGCCGAGGTTTGGAGCGTCCAGCCCACAGTCCATCGCCAGCCGGTGGAGAATCAAAGCTGCGTGGGGAGATGGAGACTGGGGGTCCTGCAGCTCACACAGGAGACACGTGTCAATTCGAAGGTCAACACAGCCAAATGACCACGTTCTTGTTTTCGTCTCGTCACCTGACTCTGGATGCTGCGCAGGTTCAGCAGGTGGAAGTCACAGGGCAGGATGGACTTGAGAGGGGCGAAGGTTTGCAAGGGAGGGATGCCGCGTCTTTTTGCCAGGACGGGCAGCGCCAGGACCTTGTGGTTTAAGAAGGAGTTGGTCATGTGACTGAGTATAGACGGGAAGCTGGTCGTTTCGCGGTCCATCATCTGCGGGAGGGCAGAAACAAATTCAAGCCACAACGATATGAATGTCACACCTCTGGTCTCGGTGTTTTGTCGTTACGAGGAAGAGGCTCTAAATACGGCATCAGAGAACAACGGAAACTTCTAATTCTAGACCAAACAGAAAGAGTACTGATCTATCTGTATTGGATTTATTACAGCCAGAGCACCGCTGTGTTTTTTTTTATTAAAAGCATTAGTGTTGGCAACTTCATCCCAAACACCCTCAGGAGTTTCGGCATAGAGCTGTATGATTAAAGTGCAATCAATGCTTTCCATTCTCTGCACAATGTGAACACATTTACTTGATAGATGACATTGTTACGTTCACCGGTGCTCGCGTAAAAAGTGGACTGGTTTTGCTAGAGCTACCAGGGTGACGAAAAAAGGAAAAAAAAGAAGAGGAACTTGTGCTACAGGAAAGACGGTGACGAGCGCCAACAGCGTTACCTCTTGAACCCTGGCACTCAAGACTTTGGAGAGGTAATAATGAAACAAGGACGAGAGTTCGGCAAAGAGGCCATCGTGCTGAAGGTAATGGAGTGAGAAAAACAAAAAACAAAGAAGGTAAGCAAAGTGAGGGAGAACAACAAATGGACAGATGCGGGCGTAATGAGCGCAGACGTAACAACGGGTGTTAATGAACACAGAATGAAAGAGGAAAAAAACACTTATAAAAAGTCCTTTTTGGTGAGACTATCAAGGACAGCTCATTCTACCGACCTTGTTGCCCGTCGATCTCCTCTCCAGCAGCAGTCGGAAGCGATTGGCTGTCTTCTTGTTGTCCTTCAAGCCCTGACCGAGCCCCCGATTATCATCCTGCATCAGTCGCCGGTCCATAATCACTTCCAGCTGACCTGAGTGTTGAACGTCCAGACGTCAGTCAATGAAGACCAACTCTGAGCTACTTGTCCTTTTACAAAACGGCTCCGTTATTTGCTGAACGATGATAAAAAGCTCTGTACATTAAACGTGAGAGCATTATCAAGTAGAATGGAGGAAAACTGCTTTAACGCATCGCATGCGGGGCTGGAGAGGGTAAACGAGGAAGCAGAGCGCGAATCGCAGACAACTTTCATTAAAAATGGAATGAAAACAAATGACACCATTGGATGACACGTAACGTAATACGGACCGGTCTCCAGGCTGGCGACGCCGAGCGACTGAGCCGTGTGCAGCGTGAGGCGGTGATGGCTGTCCTGGATGTACGCCTGGCTGGACATGGGATAAACGTTGGCCTGCAGGGGAAGCTTCAGGTGGTGGCGGCGGGGCTGCATCTACAAGGAGAGATGCAACGCAGAAGGACGCGCGAGGAAAGATGTGGTAGATAGTTGACTTGAGATAAATGTCACGACATTCAGGGTTATTTAACAACCACCATCTGGTAAGATGCCATACTATGCAAAGAACAGTATTCTAACCTGGAAGCCATTAAGATCTGTGTGAAAGACGTCCCCATTCTGGATGTCAGTGACCAGTCGCATCGCCAGCTCCTTATTGGTCTGATCTCTGATGTCCACCAGGGTGGTGATTTCTATTGACAAACCATCTACACCTGGAAATACAAAATTGTCCAATTGTCCAATTGACAATTGTCCAATATCTTGACAAATAGTAGCATTTATATTTGCCTCCTCGAAGTAAAAAAAATAAATAAGTAGCTCACAGGAACAAAGTAGTTGAATCATGAATTGGCATTTTGTCGGATGTTGGCCCATGTTGTATGCATTTTGATGATTACCTGGCACATTGTGAATGCGAATGGTCTGCTGGAAATGCTGGTAGAAGGCCACCACCTCCGAGAAGAGAGGCCCCTCCACCACGCGCACCACGGGTGGCTCTTTCTGGTTGTAAGGCTGAAAGCACACGGAGGGGGGGCAGACGTGAGCGCAATTTGTGCTAAAAATTGAAGGAGAGAGAAGTTAAAAGGAGCCATCAATAGAATGGTTGACGACATACAGTAAAGTTGCAAAGCCTTGAGGCTCCGTTGTCTTTAAAAACAAAGAAAAGATAAAGCAGCACCCAGTCTGCCTGCCCCCACCCCCCCCCCCCCGAGCACCCCAACATGAGACAAACCCACAACACACAAAGGACGCTATCAAAGCCTTCTGGGAGGCAAATAAACCTCTCAGACAAGAATACCTTTGCTTTCCCATCAGGCAGGAACAGGTAGGCGCCACTCTTGTCTTTAGAGGGACGGGTGCCGTAGACGACGAACTGCATCTGAACCTTCACTTCCTGAGGATCATCCTTCCGCCTGATACTCTGCAAATAGAAATGCAATATAAAGAGCACAGCATTAAAGAAAAGAGATGAAAGGTTGTTTGAGCAGCAACGAGACATTCCATAAGTACTTTGAAGTTTTTACTGGGAAATCAGGCTCATTTACTCTCCAAAAAGACCAAAAAGGTAACGAAACACACAAACCTCTAGAAGGCCAGTGGCCCCAGAGAAGCCCAGAGTCAGAGACTGGCTGCTAACGTAGAAGGTCTGAGGGTCGGACTGCTGAGAGCGGACAGGAAGCGGGTCGGCGGCCCGAGCGGTGACGCTCCGACCGGACAGCCGCAGCAGGGTGTCAGAGCGGAGCGTCATGGGCGAGTCGGGGGAGTCATAGAGGTGGAACACAGCCAGGCCCAGCGGTGGGAGGCGGACCATGAATGCCGCCTGGACGGACGGTGGATGGAATAAAAGCATCTATTCACACGGCGAAACTTAACATGGTGCTGCCGTCACTGAAATGGATTTCTTCGCTTACCTCAAATACCTCGGCGCTCATCTGACTAGCGGAGCTCCACTGAGCGCTCAGCTGCACGGGGAGGGTCTGTCCGTCCTCGGTGAGAACGCGCACCCGGACCGTGTTGACCAACACCGTCACCACAGAGAGGCGCTCCTGCTCGACGGGGTTGAACAGAACCAGGTACCTGGGAGAGGAAAAAAAGGGAAAGAAGATCCATCGGAAGCACGGGATGGGGGACGGGGAAGATTAAAGATGTCCAGGGAATAATACCTCGGCCCTGATGGATCCAGCTCGATTAAAGTGCTCTGAGGTAGAGAGTCTTGAGTTGCACGTCTGTCATCCTACAAAAATTAAAAACATAAAAACAGGAAACAAACTGAGAAACCTGGATATTTTAGTTCCGTCTATGCTATTGAAACAGTTTATTACACAGTGGGGGGGAAGCGTCGCGCCGCGTTTCCTCTTACCGTCTCCAGAAAGGGCTCCGTCTGGTAAAAGCGATAAAACTCCTTGTTTTTCATCACCAGGAAATGAGCAGCGTTGATGATTACCCTCTTCAGACCAATGAGTGCCCGCAGTAATCTAGGGAGGAGAAGAAAGAAAAAATAAATAAATCAATGGCTGACTGCAGCAGTCGCAGCTCGTCACTCTGCTTCACACTATTGAACGGGCGACTGTGAAGGAGCGGCGGAGACACAGGATTAACAGGAGGAGACGCCGGCGCCGTTAAGCCATTTATTTCCTCACCTGTTGCCGTAGTCCGTGGCAACGTTCTCCTTGCCGGTGCCGGTGATTGCATCGTGGTGCTGGAAGAGGCCAACGGACTGCCGCGCGTCCACCAGCAGGGCGTAATCGGAGACCGGGTAGCGCCCCTCCATGCCCACGTGCCGAGCGTTCGCAACCGCCAAGCTGTAGAGGATCTCTGCCCCCCTGAGGGAGATGAAGAGCGACAGAGGAGCCCCTTAGTAGCTTGGCTCAGCCGGTTCAAGGCGGGTTTTATTTCATTGCTTAACTTGAACCTTAACAGATGTTGTTTTCCCTCAAAATTGATCGGAAATGTGCTCCTGGGATCTGTGCAACATGCTCATGAGGGGACTTTAGTATGTTAATGTTTTTCAACCTTTTTTGCGTCAAGGCACACTCAAGACACTGAAAAAATCTCAGGGCACACCAACAACCGGAAATGATATGAAAATCAATCCCAAACATAGTTTCAGCATGAGCATAATATACTCTAAGAATTCAGGGAAACGCGTGTTCTATTTGTTGTGTTTTATTAAACTTAACATCATCCTAATGCCAAGATGGCACAGGCTTTATGCCCAGGTATCTCTTAAGCCGGATTTATGCTTCTGCGTTGTCCCTTGCGTCGCTTTTCACACCTCCTTGCGTCCTTGCGTGTGTCGAGCCAAAGCGACGCAGCCTCCCGCAGCGCACCAGGCTGCGATTGGTCCGCTAACTACGTCCTTTACGGAGTCTCACATTTCCGCTTTCATAGCCCGATACCGCCATTATTAAAACGAAGACTGTTTACGAGAGAACGGAGCAGATTGAAGAACTTTTGTCGGAAGAAATGCGTAAATATGACCGCTTATACAAGCCGTCATTGGCGGGTTGTAGAAGCGGGTTGGATTCACGGAGGGAGATCGCCGCAGACGCCGGTTTGCCGGTCGAGAGGAACAAAGTTGTGGAGGAAAATACGGGACAAATGTGTCCTTGATGAAAAGCAGCAGTGGCGATGCACGGGGCAATAACGTCTATGATAAATAAATAGACGTGACTCTCTAGGTCGTCTTCAACAAAACACGTCACCATGCTTGTTGTTCTGGCGGTGAATTGCTCTGCAACACACGCAGAACCATGAAGTGAAACGAGTGCGACGACGCAGAAACATGAATTGAAACGACGCAGAAACATGCGCCGACCTTAAATCTCACTTTTTTAAATTGTCGCCTCAGCAAATCTGCCTATTAATTACGCTGCGTAGCGCCACCCAGAGGCAGAGGGGAGTATTGAGCCTTCATACCACCAACAGCGCGACGACACACACACAAACACACAAGTTGGCTCTTTTTTCACCAATGAAGTGACAGTATGTAAAAAATGATTTGTTTTTTTCACGGCACACCTGACAGCCTCTCGCGGCACACGTGGCACACTGGTTGAAAAACACTGTGTTAATGTATGCATTGTAGGTTGTTGATGTTTGGCCTTTATTTTGATTGTTCATAATTGAGAGAAACATGAAGAGATGATGAGAGTTAAAAGGAACAATCAATAAACCATTTGTGCGATCGTACAAAGACATTTCCCCCGCGGGTTGCAAGGGACTGTGACTACATGTGCCTCACCTGAGATTTGACTCGATCACACGGTCCAGACTCTTGTAAAAGGGCCGAGAGGTGAAATAGCCAGTCCAGTAGTGGTCTTCCCGGTCGGCATAGGAAAAGAAATCTCCACTGAACACTGGGTAGTCTGGCGGTCTGGCCCCCTGGGCCACATCGTATGCTTTGTATACAGCGTCGAAGTACTCTGAGAGAGTCCCGAACTGAGCCTGGATCAGCAGGCAGACACGTGACATATTATTTAAAAAAACAATTCTCAAAAACACGGCTGCACAGAAGGGGAAAGAAGAGAATTTGTGCCTTTCATCTTACACGGCATTTTCTGAGCCAAACATTGAGATGTGACAGACTCTTTGTTCGAGTTTCAATCCCACTGCATGATTCATTAACACAAGAAAGAAGCATCTTTCTGTGCGACCCATCTACCATATGTTGAGAGAGTCAGAGTAGACAAATGGTATTCTCACTTGTACGTGCATCTCTGGGTGAGAATTCATGTAGTCGAACAGCTTCTGGTAGTTTGTGTACTGCTGATCCCACTCCAGCGCCTTGTCGTAGCGGAAGTCGTCCCCCAGAGGCACGAGAAGCACCTTGCTGCGGTAAAGTTTGGACTTCTTACGGTATTGATCCAGGAGTAGGTTTGCCCTGAATGAGAGTGTGGGGGGGAAGAACATAAGAAGAATCAAAGTCCCTAATCAATATGAGCATAGAAAGAGGAAGGCTGGAGCAGATTTATTCCATTAAACACTGAAACGTGTCCTTTAAAATCCCCCAAACCACCTGCAGTCCATGTTGGTCTCCCTCAGGTCATCGCTCCTCTAAGGCCGCTGTCGTAAGTTCAACTTTGTACTTTGGCTAATGCAAATAACATTCTTAATAACATTCACCATACATACATACATACATACAAGATCAATGCTGGATTTGAAGACAATACATAAACAATTATTACTTATTTTAAAATTTGACTCGACCCATTAGGAAAGTCTTGATACAGACGCAGCATTACTTTTAACAGTTCAAATGACTTTGTTTGCTCGTTGTAATGGAAACATTAAAACTGAATTGACATTTATTATTATCTAAAAAAAAAAGGTCAACATATTCACCACAGCTGGAGAGAACTAATCAATCTGTGCAATGTCAGAAAATAGTGAACAGGCCCAGCCTGACATCTTCAAATGCCTCATCGTGTAATAAATATGTCCTTGCTTTTACTTAATTAACAACAACTGCCACTTTAAATTCTTGCAGATTTCTTTTTTTTACTCGACAACAAACAAGTCTCCTAAAACGTGTTCTCCTGGAGAGCCATGATTGACCACCGCGTGCGGCTCACCTCTCTGCTAAATTGGCATCCACCACAGCTTTTGGCGGCACTTTCCAGGGACAGTTGATCCGACCACCCGGTAACCTCTTGAAATCAAACTGGCAGCAGATCTTCGGGTCGGGCCCGCAGGTGTGCGGCACGTCGTAGCTGTAGAACGGCATCATGTGGCAAAAGATGTCCGTGTTCGACCCGGCGTCTGTCGAAGCAGCGAAGAACAATGTCATCTATTGTCGAGTCAATGAAATGCGGTCGTAAGGCAGGTTCTACCGAGTGTGGGTGACACGTGAAACCTGGCTGGCAATTTTAAGATCAAATGGCATCCGCAGAAGAACAGAGCACCACAGATAATATTTATATAATACCCAACAGGGCTTTTCCATTTTATTGGGAATTAACAGCAGAGAGAGCGCTTCTGACGTTTCTGCGCACTGATCGTTCTTCCGAAACGTCCCTCTCTTTACAGGGCTGGTGGGATGACTCACTCCGCTGTGAGCTCAGCAAAGATAAGCGCACTCACCCCAGGACTGCCTCCACATGAACTCCAGGTTGCGCGTGGCGGCAAAGTGTTTTTAATGGAGTAGTGGACCCTCTGGATGAGCATGCTGGTCACGTTGGCCCTCTTGAGCAGATAGGACATGGTGGCACTGTGGCCGAACGGGTCTACGGCCCACCCGCTGCGAGGAGTGACTCCTATGAGAGGAGGCGGGTAGTTCAGGTTCGTGCTCGGGTAAAAAGACTGCAGCCACTAGAAAGTCATTCTCTTCAGCAGGGAGCAGTAAGAGGAGCACAGGGGATTCTATCACCCGCTGACTGACGAGCGCAGATTGGACTGTCGCACCTTATGACGAATATAGTCATTTTAACTTGCGTAATAAAAGGAATTGGGGTATGGAAAAAAAGCTCTAACATCTCAGAGGTAAAGAGACATTTACATTCTGAGTAAGACCTGTAAGGCTCAAGTGAGGAATCATTTTAGATCGTGTACCGAGGTTTCTCTCCAGCCACTGATGCCCCTCAATGAGCTGGTCTATCATGGCAAAGTAGTGCGCGTTGGCCTCGTCGGTCATGACCCAGCCTCCCGTGACAATCTCCAGCTGCCCTCCGAGGACCAGCCTGTTGAACGGAGAGGATTAGGAAAGCAAGGTGAGGATAATCCGGACCCTAAGGAGGAGTCACATTAACCAAACAAGCTATTTTCAGAGCCACCGGTTGTTATCCATCGCGTACAACGCTGCACATAAGTCCCGTAGGCACCAAGAAACATGAACTAATTATGGAGTTCTGCAGGTATTTCGGAGGCGGACCGCGTGCTCCTCCAAACCGTGACTCACTTGCGCACGGCCTCCTGCTTGCGTACGTCTGCCGTCTCCCACCACTTGGAGAAGAATGAGATCTCACACCAGATGAACTTCCTGCGAGGATCCTCGGCCAGCTTCACCACCATGTTGTTTAAAATATGCTGCGTCTGGTCTGTGAAGTACTTGTCAAAAGTCTTGATCCAACCTACCAATGCAATGATATAAGTAAGTGTTGGCAAACCGACACATTGTGGCATGAAGAGACGGGGCAGGAAAGACACTTCACGCTGTGGGGGGGGGGAACAAAAACGCTGCAACACATCAAAAATAAAACTCATATTTAATTCCCCCCCCCAAGAAAGCTTTTTAGCCGAGTGGTTTCAAAGAAAGTGAATTCAAGCACCTGCATAAAACACAGTCCATAAATATCCGGTCCAATATTTATGACATATATTGTAGCCTAATATATTTTATAGAAATGTACATCATTCCTGCAGCGATGCCGATAAGCGTGTGCTGTCAGTTGTGAGGGACAGGACTATTCACTGCAGTCGTTATAATATCGTAAGTGGTTTGAGCCGCTTACCTGCAGTTCAGTAAAACCCTTAAAGTACCTTCTTCGCATTTACTTAACTGAGCTTATTAGCAGTAAAGCTTTCACACGTCTTCGGCGTGAGCTGACAATATGCTCTCTGGTTGAAATACACGCCACCCATGAACTCTAGGAACTTAATACAGGCAAACAAATCTTTTCAGAAAAGTGTAATCAAAAACAGCTCTGATTATTCAAGATTCGAATTTGCAGGTCTCCGCCGCCAGGCGACATATCAACAACTGTCAAGTTAGTGAGCGTTTGGCAGGCTGGTAGACAAGTTTAATGATGTCTGAAAAGGAATCTCAGCCAGTCCCACATATAAATAGCTAGAGTTTGCCATTGCTTAAGTCTAAGCTGTCAATTATCTAAGTGTTATGCTAAGAATAATGAAAACAAATAAATCAAGTTCTTAATGCTTTCTAGTCTCCCACTATACAGACGAGGCAAAAAGAAAGCGGTCGCACTCGCTTAAGGTCTCACGATACGGACAGAGTGGCACAGAGACGCTTACAGCTTTCAAGGAACCTTCCTGTCGGTCTGATCTCCTCTCAGCTCACCTGGATCGTTGTGGGAGTGGGGGACAACAAACACCTGAAGCGGCTCACTGTCCCACTCGTCGGGCTCGTAGGTAATGTCAAAGCCCTGTTTCCACACTCCGCCGTCAGGGTTGTCAAACTTGAGGATGGAGTGCACATCCAGCATCTAGAACGAAAAAAACAAAGGAATCGGTCCACAGTATTGAACAGCACCTATAACTATAGCAGTGACAATGATTCGGCCGATAAGCTGCTCTGCATTTTATCTACTGTGGAAAACGTACTTACCTGAACATCTGCTTGACTGTGGCTGCCTGAAGCAAGCTGGCAGTCCTGGGGCTTGACAGCTAGGAAGGTGGGACGGCCGTCAAAGGGAAGGACCCAGGAACCGTTGGCGCTCCTAAATGGCAGGTGGCCGCGGGGGGACACTGCTCCTGTGTCTGTGAGCTCCATCACAGAGTCCTTTATGTGGCTGATGATTTGGTGGTTCTCCTCCAGGAGCTGCTCCAGCTGCTCTATTCGGTTTTGCAGAACAGAGATTTGGCTCTAAAAACCCACGCACAGAAAAACAAAACAAAAAACAAAACATAAATCACATGACGAGATCATAAAACATCTCCTAACAAAACATTTATCCTGCAATAAAATCTTTCAGATTACACCAGGTTGACAAGTAGCAGCATTAGTTCAATCAGTCCCAGAGATATTTACACAACGAAAGAGTTATTTACATTTGTATGTTCTGAAAAAACTAAATACAAAAAATAATAATGTTTTTGTACATTACATTAATAACATTGATAACTAGGAAAAAGCAATTTTAGCATGCAGCTCCAACCACCGGCATTATTCTTACCCGTGGGAAGTTCCCGCCGTTCTGTCTCCTTGCAGGGTCATGCTGGACCCGATCCAACATCAGATAGAGCGAGAACACCGCCACACAGAATATGGCCCCGCCACACACCGTCACCTGTTTCCTCAACTTCATCCTCCTCTGGAGCGGCCTTTTTTTCCTGGAGTAAAAAAAAAAAAATGACCTTGACTGTTTTTTTTTCCCCAGGAAAGAGAAAAAAAAAGTCCCGGAATGCAATCCTTCAACAGCGGAGAAAGAAACGGAAGGTAAGCAGCCGCTGCTGCGGAGATAATGGTTCAGTTTCACTCCTGCGATGCCTCCATACCGGGGTGAGCAAAACGAAGCTGCAGCAGTGGACGGGAGAACTAAATCAGCAATAGCTGGCAAGCGGTCCGTCAGCTTTGGCCGAACCACAGACACCGGTGGGCTCCTTCAAAGTGGCCATTGTGCTCAACTGTCCGAACCAATGACACTGCAGGAAAAAGGAGAAAACGGACAGGGCTCAAACAGGGAGTCTAGTATCCCCGAATCAGGAATCAGGAATCAGGAAACATTTATTTGCCAAAATATGTCAAACACACAAGGAATTTGTCTTGGCGGTTAGTGCGCGACAGTAGACAGACAAGACAACAGTGCACAAGTAATAAAATAAAGTAGAATGAAATACTAATGCAATGGGTTAGTAGAATAAGGCTATGGGTTAGTATGAAACAAGGGAATAAAGTTAAAAATTTTAAATATTAAAAAGTTAAAAAGAAAAATATTAAGCATTAAAGTGCACTAACGAACAAGTAACAGACAAGTAACAAAGTGACGAGTGACGACAAAGTGATGAATTGCAGTTAAAGTGGCATGTGCAGTATGAGGGGGAGTGACCGGTGGAATGTTATAGTCAGGCAGTGGGGGACCGGCTCTGTTGATGAGCCCGACTGCCGACGGGAAGAAACTGTTCGTGTGGCGGGAGGTCGTAGTCCTGATGGACCTCAGCCTCCTGCCAGATGGAAGGGGCACAAACAGTTTTTGTCCGGGGTGAGAGGGGTCGGCCACGATCTTTTTAGCTCGCTTCAGAGACCTGGAAGCGAACAAGTCCTGCAGGGACGGCAGATTGCAGCCGATCACCCTCTCTGCAGAGCGGATGACACGCTGCAGCCTGCCCTTGTCCTTGGCTGTGGCTGCAGCGTACCAGACGGTGATGGCGGAGCAGAGGATGGACTCCATGATGGCCGTGTAGAAGTGGACCATCATCGTCTTTGGCAGGTTGAGTTTCTTCAGCTGCCTCAGGAAGAACAACCTCTGCTGAGCCTTCTTGGTGATGGAGCTGATGTTCAGCTCCCACTTGAGGTCCTGGGTGATGATGGAGCCCAGGAAACGGAAGGAATCCACAATAGTGACGGGGGAAGGGGGAAGGTGGGGCTCTGTTCCGCCGGAAATCCACAACCATCTCCACTGTCTTTAGAGCGTTGAGCTCCAGGTTGTTCTGACTGCACCACGACACCAGATGGTCAGACTCCCACCTGTAGGCGGACTCATCCCCACCAGAGATCAGTCCAATGAGGGTGGTGTCATCCGCAAACTTCAGGAGCTTGACGGACTGGTGGCTGGAGGTGCAGCTGTTGGTGTACAGGGAGAAGAGCAGAGGGGAAAGAACGCAGCCTTGGGGGAAACCGGTGCTGATGGTCCGAGAGGCTGAGACATGTTTCCCCAGCTTCACGTGCTGCTTCCTGTCAGACAGTCTGTGATCCACTTGCAGGTGGAGTCGGGCGGTGCAGCTGGGAGAGTTTGTCCTGCAGCAGAGACGGGATGATAGTGTTAAAAGCAGAGCTGAAGTCCACAAACAGGATCCTGGCGTAGGTTCCTGGGGAGTCCAGATGCTGGAGGATGTAGTGGAGGGCCATGTTGACAGCATCGTCCACAGACCTGTTGGCTCTGTAGGCGAACTGCAGGGGGTCCAGGAGGGGGTCGGTGAGGGACTTCGGGTGGGTCAGGATTAGCCGTTCAAAAGACTTCATGACTACAGAGGTCAGGGCGACGGGCCTGTAGTCATTGAGTCCTGTGATCCTGGGCTTCTTGGGGACAGGGATGATGGTGGAGGCCTTGAAGCAGGCTGGTACGTGGCATGTCTCCAGGGAGGTGTTGAAGATGTCAGTGAACACCGGAGACAGCTGGTCAGCACAATGCTTCAGGGTGTGAGGGGAGACTGAGTCCGGACCGGCTGCCTTACGGGGATTTAGTCTTCTAAAGAGCCGGTTAACGTCTCTCTCCAGAATAGAGAGGGTCGTTGCTGGTGGGGGAGGGGAAGGTGATATAGATGAAGAGGCGTGAGCACCTGATGGGCTGGGGGAGGGAGGGGAGGGGGACTGCAGCAGGTTGGTGGAGCTGTGGGGGATGGGATCAGGACATTGTCTTTCAAATCTGCAGTAGAACTCATTGAGCTTGTCTGCCAGGCGGAGGTCATTCATGGAGTGGGGGGTTTTTGGCTTGTAGTTGGTGAGGTGTTTGAGGCCTCTCCAAACCGAAGCAGAGTCACTTGCTGAGAACTGTTGTTGGAGTTTCTCAGAGTACAGTCGTTTAGCGTCTCTCACCGCCTTGCTAAACTTGTAATTTGCCTCTGTGTACAAGTCTTTGTCCCCACTCCTAAATGCCTGATCCTTTTGCAGGCGTAGTGTTTTGAGTTCCGCTGTGAACCAGGGTTTGTCGTTGTTGTAACTCACCCTGGTGCATGATGGTACACAGCTGTCCTCACAGAAGCCAATGTAGGAAGTTACAGCCTCTGTGAACTCATCCAGACTGTCAGTAGCAGTCCTGAAAACATCCCAGTCTGTGCGGTCAAAGCACGCCCGAAGATCCTCCAGCGCCTCACTGGTCGATGTCGGTCACTGTGGGCCTGCTTTCTGGGTCCAGTCCCCACTCTAGTACAGCCAGAGCCCCCCTTCTGATCGGTTTGCCCTCCAGGCTTCAGCAGTGCAGAGAAATAGGCCGAGATATGGACCAAATTGGCAGTGAAAAGCTGCTTTTTTTTAATTCTCTTAACTCAAAGCTGAAATGCTTGAGGCATCTCCAGGAATTAAAACGAAACAAATGTCATTCTTCGCTCAGTAGCAGTGGAACAGCAGCTCTGCCGGTGCAATAACATCTATCCTCATTTAGTGGTCTTCTTCAGCTGTTAGGGAAAATGTTTGATTAATGGGTAAAAAGAAACAACAACAACAAAAACCCATTCAGCCATTTTCTGTCACAAAAAGCAAAAGGTCAGGAGAGTGAGAGACATCTTTTTTTGATCTGACAAGTTAAGTCAACAAGGGGATTCGGGATCATTGGGGGTCACAGTGGCCTGCAGTGGGATCCCTCGTGTCCCTCTACGTGCAAATCCTACCGGATCATAAGCCGCTGGCTTTGCAGGCTGGTGTGTCTTAAGCATTTACCCCCAGGGAGCCGGGATAATAACCTGGCACTCACAGACAAATAGCGTGACTGCCATCAGTTGGACAAACGTTTCCGAGATCATCTGGGCCGCATGATGAATAAATCCATCTTCGTAAATGGAGGTGCTGGACAGAGACAACTTAAAAATACCGCAGCTACGTGTGGTGCTACGTCAAAAAAATTAACTACCAAATGACCCCGAACAGTGTCCTTCGGGTCACTGCCCGAATGTTACTGTTTAACTCGGATGTCTTCTGGACAGCTATGGCTGGGCAGCGTCGCGTGCCCTCCAAAGTAAAAGCCCCCCAAATACCTGCATTACGACATTATGCCGTATCAACTTAGATACAAGGCGGGCAGTTTACACGTTTAGCTCACTCACCGGTAAAACACTTTTATCTACTCTGGTGAAGTTTACTAATCTCTCTGGCGTCCACCGGGTTATCGCGGACACGCTAGCGTTGCGTTAGCCAGCCGACGGATGACGTCCAAGATGAGCCCGGATCGATTTATTGCCAGCTAGCTTCGAGAGCCGATGCTACAACGTTAGCGTGAGTGCTGATGAATCCGACTGAGCGGCTGTCACGGTTCTCCGTTGGGCGTCCGCGGGGGAGCCAGTGTGCGGCACGGCGGATGTAACGTCCAGCGTCCAGCGCTACGGAAGACTGGGCGAGCGACGCTACTGGCTCGATAACATTAGGACGATACGTGGGTGAAATCTCTCGTGACATCTCGGGCTTAACGCTTTCCGTGCCTGTTTATTCGAGAATAAAATAAAAAAACACAAAAGTCGGACGTTACCCATCAAAAGAGAGCGATCCGGAAGAGAGTGGAGCGCAGCGGTGCGCGAGTGAGCGGCTCCCGGCTGTGACAGGTTACCCGTTTGAACCAGTTAGCTTAGCAGCTAGCACCAATGAGCTGCCGCAAAGGCTTCTGGGAAGAGAGGATTGTAAAAAAAAAGAAAAAATGCACCATTATAAATACAATAGCTTAACGTGTGGGGTGAGGGAAGAAATTACCCGCCGCGAAATAGACAATGCACTTTAAAAAACAAACATTGATATATAAAAACGGCTCAGCAAGCAGTACACAAGCTGGCAGCTTATGAGTGAGAATAATTATATAAACGCAAATTATCCTGCGATAATACCCTGGATCATCTGCTCAGATACACCTCAGTGCAAAACGACAGAAGATCTAAAATAATATAACGTGAGTTATCGTAAATCATATTTCCTAGTAGGCACTAATCTACTCTTTCTAGTTGTATTCGTATATAAAATGAATTACATTTAGAAGTAATTTTCAGTTACCCTAAAAACAGATTTACACAATCTGCCAAAAAGTCTAAACTTTGTTGAAAGCGAATTTATAGCTATTTAATTCACTTAAATTAATAACTTCACCATTCGTGTTTAAGTATGAATGGAGAACAATCAATAAAAATAATGACCCACTTCTCACTTGTTGTGCAGAGGCAGCTTTTGAGTAAAAATAAAAATACAGTGATTTAGGGTCCACATTGTGTAATTTGTGTCCACATTGGGTAGTCCATTGAACATGCCCAGTAGTAAAGAGGAGATAATAGCTTGAACAATGATGCACTTCCTTTTTCATTCAGCACTTTAATGAATGGGAGTAATGGGATCTTTTTAAGAAATGTAGTTTACAATGCAGCTTTTACAATGTTGTCAGAGGGACCACTGACCCCTGTTATTTCTACCTCCCTGTCTGAGACACTTGGCTCGATGACTTAATGCCTTAATCGGTGCTGCCTTTTCTATCACCAAAGTAAAAGACCGGGGTGACTGCTGCGGAGAAGTGACACCCGCCACCTGAAGCCGTGTGGAAAATGTACTGATGCTTTGCATGGATTATTTTGGTAGATCAAACTATTTGACAGTTTTGGAAACAGGAGCTCGGCTGAGACTTAAATAATCAATGAGCAGATCGTGGGGTACATGACAGGGACAGGTGGTATTGTTTTCTATCAGTTTATGAGAGATATTTCCAGACTTAAAAAATAGACTTGTTACCATAAAGTACATTAGGCATTGAGACAATCACATTCCGGGAGAGCTATCTCTCACACAGGAAAGTCTTGATAAGTAAAACATGTTTACACAGCTGGTTTTGATTTTGATTATAGGCCGGGACTCATCTCTTTGATGTTGTTGCTCAGCCTTGTGTACCTGAGAACAAATCCCATAGGGAACCACCCTGTCTCCATGGCAACAGAAGCACAACAATGGGGCTCGGCTGTCCTGGAAAATGAGTCGCCAGGGGACTGAAGGAAATACCACACTTACTTTTGTGGTTTTAACTTGTCCGAATGCACAATAGGATTTCAATCTCACATTTTAAGACTCAAAATGTATTTTTTGCATTTACTTTAAAAAAATACAAATCCAGACTCAAGCAAACTGCAGTGTACATTTGATGTGGGCGTTTAAGCACTTTATTTGACTGTTTTCATTTTGTGCAAGCACATATACACTATATTTGTCACGCAGCAGTAGTCAAGAGTAAAGTCGTCACTAGTGTTTATTTAATGTATGTAGATGAGTTCATTTGAGTTTTGTTGTATCTTTGTTATATGTTTGTTACACTGTGTAATATATTCTTGTGCAGCTTAGTTCGATGCTCCTTATGTCTTCTAAAACTATCAATAAACATGTTTTTTTATTGGGTATATAAGATCTTTATTGATGGTTAATAAAATATTTAATAACCCTTATTCTGTTAAGCCCATTATTAATAGTAACTTAGTAAATAGTAAATAGTAACCCAGTAACTTTCTTAGTTGCTATGTATTGCATCAATAACTGGTGATGCTTGTTCTCTTCTTTTCTGTATGAACTGGTGAAAGCCACAGAATTCAAATGTAACCAAATAAAGCCGGGATGGAGACAGACACAGTCTGGCTCCATCCCGTCCTTTTATGGTAATAGAACGTGCGGGAGGGGGTGGGGCTTTTACCGAAACGTCATCAACGTGCTCCGGACAACCGGAAGCGTAGCGAGATCTAACATGTTTTGCTGAAGCTGGCGGTGTTTTTGTCCAATTAAGAGTCAAATTAAACCACACATTCGGCACACTACGTAACGTTGTCATTGTGTAATACAATTGGAAGATGAGTGCGAGAGAAAACGAAAAGGTAAGACAACAAAAGTTAGCTTTTTTCTTTTAGCTTAGCAGCTTTCCTCAATAACATGTTTTTTCGAAGCATTTCTGTCATCCTGAACCCTACTTGCATAAATATATATATTTTTCTTCATCGTAACTCTGCAGCCCTGAAAGAGGACGGAAACACTCTTTTCAAGGCAGCAGACATTCCGCTGTCTGCTGTTACACCAAAGCAATAAAGCGCAGTGGCAGCCAAGCGGAGAAGGCTGTTCTGTACCGCAACCGCTCCGCCTGCTACCTGAGATAAGAGGAGTACAACAAGGCAGAGTCTGATGCCTCCAAAGGTCGCGTCTATTGCACCTAATACGGTTTATATATTGTTGATTACAAAGTAATTCAAACATTTGAAGTGACCGCTACTCGTGATGATCTTGAGACTCGAGTGGTTTAATTGAGAATCACTTTCAAAACACCCACTAACTGTTGTTAGAATACTGTCCTGTTGCATGCACAGCACTGAGATCCATGGATGTGGCTACACAGCAATATTAAATGCGATGTGTGTCACTCCTTTTCAGTTCTCAACATCGACCCGGGCGACGTGAAAGCCAGGTTCCGGAGAGCTCAAGCTTTCCAGAAGCTCTGTTGGCTTGATCAGGCATTTCTGGACGCTCAGAGGTGTGCCCAGCTGGAGCCCAAAAACAAAGCCTTCCACGACCTGCTCAGGCAGATCGCAGCACAGATCCAGCAGAAGGTGATGTGTTTTGAGTGAATGGCGGGTCACGGGAGGTTTGAGAAAACAGTTGCTAATTATGCTCTTTCCTCTCACTGTGTAGTTGGTGCAACAGAACTCAACAGATTCCCGCGTGCAGCAAATGTTCTCACTTCTCGTAGACGCATCTGCGAAAGACTCTGATAGACAAAAGGTAAAGCAACCCCGAAGACAGGAGATACGCAGTAGTATGATTTTCTCTTTTATTATGTGTTTGATAATTATTCATTTCATCTTGATTTGTGTGTGACGTTGTAATGCACCAAAATTATGTCCATTCATTCAACAATTTCAGGCTGCTCAGAATCTGGTGGTGTTGACTGGAGAAGACGCAGGAGCCGAGCAAATCTTACGTAATGATGGAGTGAAACTGATTCAGAAACTTCTTCAGTCAAAGCAGAAGGACATTGTCCTTTCTTCCCTGAGGACCCTGGTTGGGATGTGCACGGGGCATCAGTCCAGAGTAAGATTGAACGTTTAAACTTAACTATACTGCATTCTTGTCTTTTTTTTAACAGCCACGCAAACTTGCGTTGTTTCTTAGAAAACATTGATAAAACCAGAAGTGTATACACATAAATAGCCCTCTTGTTTGTAATTTGTTTGTTTTCCTTCCATCTGTTTCCATTCATTGTAGTCTGCTGCAGCACCATCGCTCAACAGACGACCCGATATCTTAACGTCCATGTTTGTCAGAGACCATGTTCTCCAAGCTGGTAAAATGCTAAATTCATTTACTGCCTGTGATTGCTGATATTCTTTTTATGTCCCCAGACCATGGCTATAGTGAATGAGCTGGGGATGGAGCAGCTATGTGCAGTAATGGGGGAAGGAGCCTCCACTGTGTCTCTGGCTGCCTGCCACCTGCTGCAAGTGATGTTTGAGGCCCTGACAGAAGGCATGAAAAAAGAGATCAGAGGGAAAGATGAAGCCATACTTCCTGGTGAGTATGGATTCTGATCATGTTTATATTTGGAGTTGGCCACACATGAAAGTACAAAATGCTTTGTGTCAGCCTTCTGTCTTGTGCCTTCACACGTTTATTGACTGTGTGAATTTAACACAGAACCCTCCAAGGAGCTACGCTCAATGTTACGCCACCTCATGGAAATGATGCCGGCATCGAACGTGTCGGGACCGGGCAGAGACAGCGCCATCAACCTCCTGATCAAACAAGTTCCCCGCAAGTCCATGAAAAACCCAGACAACTCCCTCACGTTATGGGTGATTGACCAGGGTACGAACACGCCTGCCCTTGATGTAGATTTTCTTACATTTTTCCAGATTAACAAACCTTTTTCCCTTGCATGACTGAAGAAAATCCTGTAGGTGGCCGGGACCGTGCCTGAGCTCTCTGAAGGGCCGACTCTTAACGACAACTCCCACATAAGCTGCTCCGTCTTACTCAGCAAACTCTACGATGACCTGAAGAGCGACGCAGAGAGGGAGAACTTCAACAAGCTGTGTGAAGAATATGTGCAGTGAGTGGACTACCAAAACGTTGTGTAACACAGGCTAAAAGCCAAATAGTGGCATTCCTTAACTAGCTTGCTTTTTGTCCCTCTCTTTTCGGTTAGGCAACATTTTAGTCGGCATGGCCTAGACGGCAAGCTGCAAGCCATCCAGACGGTGTCCGTGCTTCTCCAAGGGCCAAGCGACGTGGGTAACCGAACTCTGGAGATGTCAGGAATGATGGACGCAGTCATCGCTCTGTGTGCTTCCGAAGACGCAACCCACCAGCAGGTCGCGGTGGAAACCGTGATCCACAAGAAACCTCTAATTAAAGATCTGCACGCTACTCTGGTGGTTACTACACAGGGTTTGTGCAAGCTTGGATCAGCTGGTGGGACGGACTTCAGCATGAAGCAGTTTGCGGAGGGATCCACGCTAGCTCGCCAAGCAGTGCAGGAAGTATGTTTGTTTGTCTGAATCCTGAGTAATGTGCCATGGCTGGTTCACTTCGTTGCTAAACCTGATCTAAAAACAACAGATAAGAAAGTGTAATAAGAAGAACGCTGTGTT